TTTTTGTTTGTTTATTTGTTTGTTTGTTTGTTTAGCAGGCCCAGGCTGGGTTCAAACCCCACCAGCCCTGGAGAACGTGACTGGCTCCCAACCACTGAGCCATGGGCGCCCAACCTATTTATTTATTTTTTAAGACAGAGTCTCTCCCCCCTGCTAGAGTGCTGTAGCATCATAGCTCATAGCAACCTCACACTCTTGGGCTCCAGCTATTCTCTTGCCTCAGCCTCCTGAGTAGCTGGGACTATAGGCACCAACCACAACACCCAGCTTATCCAAATACTTTTTGATTGGGGTTTTGTTGAGTCTGTGGATGTGGAACCCACAGATACGGAGGGCTGACTATTACTTATTTATATGTGTCTCTCTTTCTAGTTTAGTCGATTCTGAAGAGGGTCAGCACTTCCCTGGGTGGCAGGAAGGGTGAAGGAGAAAACCAATTCCACAGGGTATAAAAGAAGGTTCTTAGTTGGTAGGGGAGGTTGTGAAAGGCAGTGCTAAATTTTTTTTTTAGGGGATGATGGTCTCACTATGTTACGTAGACTATAGCACAGTGGCTTTTCACAGGCTCAATCATACCATGCTACAGCTCTGAATTCCTGAGCTCAAGCAATCCCTCTGTCTCAGCCTCAGAAATGCTTGAGACTAGGTACACACCCCTGTACCTTTGCACTAGATTTTTAATTTGTTGAGGGCAGTGTTTTAATTATTTTATAACTTTAGTGCTTAGCCTGAAGATATTTTCTCTATGGTTGGCTTTTTATAAATGTTAGCTGAGTAAGGAATTTGTTGAAGGTAAAGTTTATGTCTCTTACACTTACATAATTTTTTGTTTTTTAAAAAAATTACTCATTTTGGGGGTAATTTGTTCATTTTTAATATAAAAAGCCCTAAATATAAATGCCACCTTTAAAATTTTCCTTAATTGGAAAATGGTTTGTGTAAAATTATAGCATTAATTATCTTAATATAGGAATTGAAAATTGAACAGTATTTTGTGCTATCAGCATTCCATGGAAGAAACTCATAGTGAAGAGAACATAGAGCTGGATTAGGGCTGGCAAGGAGTGGTCAGTATCATTATTCTGCCTACCTGTACTCTTCATCTAGGAGTTTGCAGTAGTGTTTGGGAGAGGAGTTATTGTGCATTAGTGGGGCTACTATGAAAGGCTACACACACAAATGTTGATAGTTTCAAATAAAATGCATGGATTCACAGTTTTGGGTTCTCTGGTTTTATGTAAAAATTGTTCTGGGCAGCACCTGTGGCTCAAAGGAGTAGGGTGCCAGCCCCATATACCAGAGGTCGCGGGTTCAAACCCGGCCCCAGACAAAAAACCGCAAAAAAAAAAAAAAAAATTGTTCTAAGTTCATTTCTCCTTTTTAAAATAGAAAGTTCAGTTTAAAAAAAAGTGTCTGAATGAATTCTCCTATCTTACATAGGCATTAATAGATGTGATATCTTAAAACAATTAATACATCAGTTATTTGATGAAATATACCTCTTTCACATGCTACTCCTTAAATGAAATGTTTCAGAATTATGGGAATTAATTCATCCTTAAGTCCCATCCTTAAGAATGCCTGTTCAGTAAGTCAGACTTGGAAAGAAGTAGCCAAAATTATCATTATTTCAGGATACTATGATTGCCCATATAAACAGTTCAAGAGTCCAATGAACAAACTATTAAAACTGATAAAAATTC